TTGTGAAAACAAAGTTAAGAAATAAGATGGGAGATAGTCTTCTGGATGACTGTCTAGTCATTTTTATTGATCGGGATATTTTCTTTAAAGTTGATGAAGATAATATAATCAATACATTTATGTCCCTTTTGAAAGTGTCGAATAAAATAGTCACAAAATAGCATTGTAAGTCTCTGGTTCTCTTTTATGCCTTATTTCAATTATTGATGTGGCTTTTGAACTATTTATACTATACTTAATGGATGGTTTGGACTTAATCCATGAATTTAAGCATTATTGTGTTATTTAGTGCATATATATCAAATCATGTTGTCAATTTTACAATTATTACCGAATTGTTGAAATGGATTTACTGAATTGTATATGAAAAATTTTGGGCAACATACCCTTAGACAAAATCCTAGATTCGCCACTGAGCAACCGACATGTACACGACAGTCATTGGCTGCACTAGTGCACCTGCAAGTACCGCACCAGCAGCAATAATCCTTTGGTATGCACTAGAAGAAGACGATGAAATCAAGGCGACGGCAGATTTACAACTCAAATCAGTCTCACGAGTTTATCAAATATAAAATTCTCTGCAACAATTTCTCTGATTAATCAAACACGAACAATAGCAACATCAGTAAGATAGATACGGCTTACAATAGATGCAATCCAAGCCGTAGCGCTACCAACAACCATAGTAGCTTGATCAGACACTCCACGTAGATCCACAAGAAACCGGAAAATGGTATCATAATATAGGAAATGAAAACGGTCGGTACCGGATTTTCCCCGTCCGTTTGAACCATATATTTAGATGATATTTTTATATTGAGTAAAATACACCGAAGGTCTATTAACTTTTGAGGGGTGTCATTCAGGACCATTAATTTTCAAATTGTATTTTTGGGTCCTTAAACTTTTTAAGTGGTTCACCAGACATCCATACCCATTCGTTTATGTTTGTATTTTGCATAAACATCCTTCTGTTTATTTTTCTTTCACACCTTTACCCTTCACCGTCTTCTGAGCGCACGGTGTTGGCGGGAGAGCGCAGCAAGCATGCACGAGGGCCTGTAGACTACAGTGCGCTACCGTCTGTGGACTATGGATGTGGGTAGAGATGCGAGCGCCACGAGCCAGCAAACGACTGTGGGTGTGCGCTACCATCTGCAGGGCTCCATGAAGATGGCGATGCGGTGGGGCGCGGCCTGGACTCCAACGAACGCCTCGTCTTGGGCAGTTCGGCTCTGACGACGCGCCGCCATCTCCGTTCAGCACGCGCTCGTAGCACGACGTGGACGGCGAGGCCGCAACCGCCAGCACTGTCTCGGACGCCGACGAGAGGCGCTGCCTCGGGCGGCGCCCTCTGCGACTGCGCTGGCGTACATATGGAGGTGAAGGACGCGTCGTCAAACTGGCCGCTGAGTGTCAGCATGCGGCTCACGTCGTCAACCTAGCTCGCCGGCGTACCCCTTCTGCTGCACGCCGACGTACAGCACGGCGAGCACGACCTTGGCCTCCCTCTCTCACTTGTGGTGTTTATCACAAACACTGACACACTCACGTTCAATTCTCTACGGTGGATACACGCATGCACATACAGAAGCCTGAGCACACATGACACATACAGAGCAGTACAAGCTAACAAGCTTTGTTGACACTGCCACACGACAGCTCTCGTCCTTTCCGTTCATTTATAGACTACAGTAAGTATACATGCAACAAGCGGTATAAGAACCGGGCCATCCACTTAGCGGAGACTGCCGCCATGAATAAGGTAAATAGCAAGTGCACTAATGACAAGATTAAACTCGACCAGAGTGCGTACGCCTGCCCGCGCGAACGGCAGGAACTCCGGGCGTCGGCCTGCCGCGAACCGCTCCGGATTGAACTCGTGCGCGACTACGCGTTGGGGCCCAGATGGACTTGTCGTGGTGGATGGCCAGCACCGGGGTCCACGCCGACAGGTCCTGGCCGTGGGCCGATGTCGTGCGGCCCTCGTCGGCGATCTCCCTGCTCCGCCCGATGGACTCCCTGCTCTCTTGCACCCGGCCATGGCCTCCGCTGGCGACGTGGGCAGGGCAGCTTGCTCTCCACGCCGGAAGCGGTAGAAGTCGACGACGTCGCTGGCACGGTGGTCCTTGTCCTTGACGAAGCCGGCTCCTGCCCTTGGTGAGCACGTAGCCCTGGCTGGTGAATCGGTACAAGTACCAGAACTGCCACACCTTGCCCGCGCCGTCTTCTTGCCGGGTTGAGGAGCATGCCCTTGCTTCTCGGATTGCTGCTTCGGGATCACCAGGCAGTTCAGCTTGCCCACGTCGCTGGGGGTGACCATCTTGTCGAAGAGGTGCCCCCACGCGCAGCCGTCACGGGGGTGTTTTTTCTCCGGTAAAACCCAAAGTAGAGTGCACTCCCCACAAGCGTGCTTGGCTTGAAAGGGTCGACACAGGCAGAAGGCTGCTGATGAGCGAAGATTTGGTCGCTCCACGACGTCCACGTAGCAGTGTCACAAGAGTAGGTGCAGATGGTCGTCTCACCAGTAGTACCAGTGCACACAAAACCCACGAGGAAGGATCGGCGGTGGCAATCAAGGTGGTCGCAGCTGCCATGGGCCGCGCAGAGAACTGCCGCATTCCAGCTGACCAGGGGCTGCGACGGCTTGGGCAAGGGCAGTTCCTTCTGCTCGTCGGCGATGGGGTCCCAAATCACCAGGGCGTTCTCCGGCAGTCCGGCTCGGCTCGCAGGAGTACACGCCCGTGGCGCGCATCGAGCACCCAGCAGTGGCTGCGGTAGGCAATCGGCGGGCAGGAGGCGGCTGTGCGCACGAACTTGTCCTTCCATCTGCTGGAATAGTTGAGGCTGCTGTGGAGGAACCCCAGCATTGGGGGCGTGCGGTGTAACTCGCGGAACCTGCGCCGGAGACGAGGCGGCACCATTGCTTGCACACGAGGGCGGCGCGGACGAGGAGCGCGGGATCGTGCGGGGGGAAGCGGAGGAGGATCTCCTCGATGAGCTCCTCCATCAGCGGCGGCGGCATCCTGGATCGCTGGTTGCGGCGCGAGGGTTTGCTGGACTGAACGAACTGAAGAATGGGATGCCCCGGTTCGGCAGGCTGCTTCCCCACGCGGTGGCCCAACAGGCCCAAGGCCCAGACATGTGGGTCCTGGCAGGCAGTGACACAGAGGTGACCAGTTCAGCAGCAGCATTATTGTTCTCGGTGTAGTTGCTGAAAATACACATTGCTCTCGATGTGAAATGAAAAGATTTTAAACAGATCACTTCATCGATGTGTCTGGAATGTAACGGTCCAACATTTTTCAGAAGAAAACAACATGTTTTTTTTATTTAGGTTGTGGCACGGACATCACTTGATGAATGGTTTTCTTGAAACAATTTTTTTCCAATCGCATATCATCTTTCATATCATTTAGCTATCATATATCTTTTTATATCTTGGTTCTATGTACGGTATGGTTTTTTAGGCTAGTTTAAGTGAAAGTTTCATTAGCATTAAATAAACTAACATGACATAGTATACGTGAAGAGAGATGATGAAAGTTTCATAGAATGAAACGGTTTTACTGGGGATTAAATTTGTCTACATTATTTTCAACACATGGAAGTCTTAGAAAATAGGATATGAAATTTCCACCGAGACTAACGTTATGTAAAAAAAAACATTTCCTTTCCTCTCTCTTCATTAATTGTAATGTTACATCATTATTTTGCTTAGCTGTTACCTTGATTAATAAATATAAATATTATGTAGTTTCTGAGTTCGAACTGCCCTTAGGGGTGAGAAACTTGCCTCGCCTAGGCAACACTCCTAGAGGAGGCTTTCATTCAAACAAGTTCATAGAATCTAGATTTAAGTTTTTTTATTTTACCCTGTTTTTAATCAATATTTTTTAAAATAGACTAGACTGAGAGGCTTTTATCCAAACACGTTCTTAGAATCTAGATTCAATTTTTTTATTTTAACCTTTTAATAATCTAGCACAGGAGGCTTTTATGAAACAAGTCCTCAGAGTTTTTATTTTAACTTTTTAATAAATATTATCAATATTTTAAAAATAACCTTATATAAAAGATGTTTTTTATCTAACCATTTTGATTGTGTCAGTCCACGTGGCACAACAACATAACGTATCCATGCGACGTGTATTGGTTACTCAACAGATATGCTGGCAAGACGCCACATGCATATGCATTAGCTCAACAAATGTGACACGTTGGCAAGGCGTGCTGACATGGCAGCCTTAATATATAGATTTCATTCTTCAAATAACAAATAATAGGTTTTGAATAAATATAAATAGTTCGATTCAAGAATCGTGTTTAGATCTTATTCTCATTTTTATTAGAAGATCCAAACAAGTTGTAGCTGAATTTCTAATCAACAGCATGTTCGTTTCGACTAGATTGACTTATAAACCATGACCAAAAGTACTGCTGACTGATTTGGTGTGAGATAAAAATATTATTTAAGCTATAGATTATAAGTCAGATACGAGCAATCCAGCCGAAACGAACAGGCTGCAAGCTTTTTCCAGAGATAGATTCTCTAACTGATGTCACTTCCAAAATACCAAAGGAGGCCGGCATCTGAGAATCTGGGATCGTAGACAACAGACGCGGTGTCTTGTGGCGACAACCCATTTCTGGAGACCAAACGACAAACTATTGCATTGATGATCAAACCAAAACGACAGCTTCACTAAGCGGTAAAAACACTGAACAAAATTGCAATGGCACAGCCATCTCAACTCTGAACAGCACAAAGGGATCGTCTAGACTACTTCCAAACAGCACAAAGAGGTGTGCACTCAATGCTATACCGTGCAATACAAACAGTTTCCATAAACGTCACACAAAAACAGGTAGGCAGCTCATCACGAGCAACCCGAGCAAGCCAGAATTGGGTGCACACCAATCAACGCATCAGCAATGCCGCCTACTAGTACTAGACTATCATCCAGGATAACCATCCATTCATTTCCAGGCTTCAGTCAGTACTCGGACGGTGAGATGACATCATCAATCTTGAGGATCATCTTCACCACCTGAGTGGCAAGCAGGATCTGTTGCTGCTTGCCGATCAGGGTCTCAAAGACGTTCTGCTCTTTCATGTCGTTGGTGCCAACATCAGTGCAGTCTACGCCACAGTGGGGGTTGCTCTCCTGCAAAGGTGTTCAGTAATCACATGTCACCAGAGTTGTCAAACAATAATTTAGAAGTGCAACAGCAGGAAAACCATTTTGCAACACTGCAAAGTGCTTGGGACTGACAATAGATCAAGTGCTACATGCACTTATTGCTTATTGGTAGTGACACGTGAACTCAGTTTTAATAACAGACCCGAGCTGGGCATGATCTGACTGACAAGTAAAAGGATCCAGAGTCAACTTTAAAGTAAGGGGTATAAAAAGTCCAATACCTTAACTTGTTGGGCTTTTACTGCGGTTAAGGTATCAATTGGTGACAAACCACTATTTTCAGCCAAGGCTAGTGGAACAGCATCTAATGCATCAGCGAATGACCTGATAGCATACTGCAAAGAAAAACACAATCAGAAGGAACAGATTGCACACTTTTTTTCAAGCAGAAGCTCCAAAGTCAGCAAATACCTGCTCAACTCCAGGGTGCCGATCTGCAGCAGTTTCAACAGCAATTGAGCAAGATATCTCTGCTGAGCCACCACCGTACACAATTGAGTTATTCCGGATCAGATTCCTTGCCACACAAAGAGCATCATGAAGACTGCGCTTGGTCTCCTCAATCATCATTTTGTTTCCTGCACAGCAGCAGTAGACTCGCATCAGGACATACCATCAAAATGAACAATTCAAGATATGATCTAACAGTGAGCATAGTTATTATAAGTTTATTGTCCTACAAATGATGTCTACAAGTTTTGTACGATCTAGGTTTTTGATGCAGGATTGATACCATAAGTTATTAAGGTATAAGTACTTAATTGGACAGTGCAATCAGAATATGAATGATAAAAGTTGATGCGTTAATTAAAGTTAAACATAAATGACCTTGTAATGAAGATATAAACACATGTATATGTTAATATGAAAGAACAAAAATGGATAATGCACCAGAACATACCTCCGCGAATGAAAATAGTTACAGCTCTGGAATTGGCACACTGCTCAATGTAAAGCATCCGGTCCTTTGTTGTTCCGAATGATTTCTCTCTGACTAATCCAGCCTAGCAAAAAAGAGCAAACAAAATCGTGTAACAGATAGCTTCTTGCAATACAACAAAAATGACTAGATTATTTTCTATGTATGGGCATTTAAAATGGAGCTATGGTGGGAGACTTTGGAGTCCAAAGGTTTTAGACTCAGTAGAACTAAAACTGAGTATATGAGATGTGACTTCGGCACTACTACTCGGGAGGAGGAAGATATTAGTTTGGAAGGTCAAGTAGTGCCTAGGAAGGATACCTTTCGATATTTAGGATCAATGCTACAGAGAGACAGGGATATTGTTGAAGATGTTAGCCATAGAATCAAAGCAGGGTGGATGAAGTGGCGCCAAGCATCTGGTGTCCTATGTGACAAAAGGGTACCACAGAAGCTAAAAGGCAAGTTTTATAGGACGGCGATTAGCCCTGCTATGTTGTATGGTGCAGAATGTTGGCCTACGAAAAGACGACATGTTCAACAGATAAGTGTCGCGGAAATACGTATGTTGCGTTGGATTTGCGGTCATACAAGAAGGGATCGAGTTTGGAACGATGATATACGTGATAGATTAGGGGTAGCACCAATTGAAGAAAAGTTTGTCCAACACCGGTTGAGATGGTTTGGACATGTCCAACGGGAGACCTCCAGAGGCACCGGTGCGTAGTGGAATCCTAAGCCAGGATAGTAACGTGAAGAGAGGCAAAGGAAGACCGAAGTTGACTTGGGTAGAGGCAATAAAAGGAGACTTGAAAGGATGGAATATACCCAAAGGCTTAGCCTTAGATAGAAGTGCTTGGAAAACAGCTCTACACGTGCCTGAACCTTGATTGCTTCTGCTGGGTTTCAACTCTAGCCTACCACAACTTGTTTGGGACTTAAAGGCTTTGTTGTTTTTGTTGTTGTTGGGCATTTAAAATGGAATGTGCTAAACTATCAATAATGGTACGTTGATTAACCTTGATGAAGGTTAAACATTTAGCTTACTGGCCAGCTAAATATCAAATCACCCTCACAAACTCACACAATTAAAAGTCAGTACATATCATAACAACTCAACAATAAATAAGTTTAGCTTTCTATCCAACTACAAGTTAGTCAGAAACATTCAAACAGTTGCTTTTTAAATATGGTAAAATATAAAGGCAAGCACAGTGTCTATGAATAATCCCTACTAATTTCAGATTCATGCAAACTGGGACACAAAAATTCTGTAACTAAACACTGCATTATCAACCTATGCATATTCCATATGACTGAAAATAAACTATGAACATATACAGAAAGGAGGTACCTTCCCAAGCTTTTCAGGATTCAACTCTTGGAATCTCGGAACAATACGTCCTCCTGCAGTCAGTTAAGTAAGGGAATGTCACCACAAGCAATTCATATAGTCACATAAGAGTGAGATATAGTAGCAAGGTGACCTGTAGCAATGGCAATCAATTCCAATTCAACACCACCAACCCATCTGACAGCTGGCAGATTTCTGTGCATCAACAAATGATTGGCTTCATCATCAAAACCCCACTGACAAATAACCAGGGTTGCACCAGCATCCTACAGAAAAAATGTGGATAATTATTTAGCAAAGCAAAAACATCACATTAAATGAATACTTCAAATACCCATAGTAACCAACTAAAAGATTTGAAGGCGTCTTTCAAAATTCATTATCATACTTGCTACAAAACCATGTAAACAATGTAACTAAGCAAAATAACAACATAATAAAATATTTCAACTAGAATATCACATCAAGAACAATATTACAGTTATGCACGCAAGAAACATCATCACTCAGGTATCAACAACATTGATATTCTGTAATACTAGAAACAGTTTAGTGTTTACCTTGCACTTCTGAACCATTTCATCAAAGTATTTCTGCTCTTGCTCACGCAGTGTTTGGAATTTCTCCACAGTATCAATGTCAACCTTATGCTTTGTCTTAGGCTTCGGAGGCTCAAATGGACATGTCAGGATGGCAATCTTAGCATCCTCAATTCTCTTTGGCATTTGTGGATGGCTCATATCTTTGTCAACAATAATTCCATATACAAGCTCAGTGTCCTCCAGCTTCCCACCAACCTTGCCTTCTACTTTAATTAAATCCAAGTTAACATCCTTCCTCTCCAAGTCTGCAACCGCAAGTACTGCTTTGACAGCAATCTCTGCCAATGCCCGCTTGCAACGGTTAACCCTGTAGAATAAGAACAATGGAGACATCAGACATGCTGTTTTTGTACAGTGAACCTACTGAAACCATTCTAAAGCATCTTTTTTTTTTTTTTTTTTTTGGGGGGCGGGGGGGGGGAAAAACAGGTGGTGATTGTTGTAAAACAAAGGGAAAAAAGATTGTGTATTCATCATATAGAAATGAGCTTCATAGGAAAATGGTAAAAAAAATGAGAGGCCAGGAACAAAGCACATATAGGTCTAGATCAGCTCGAGATTGAAGTGAACAATTATTATAGGTATGGATCAATGATTAGTAGCATGCGTACTATGATTCACAAAAAAAGGATTAGTAACATGTGAGAAGCAATGAAATCTTCAAAACTATTTCGGTTTGGTTAGCTCAGATAAAGAGGGGAAAACCCTGAAAAGATAGTACATCCCTAACAAAGATTTGTTCTATTTTTACCAAAAAACACAACGAAGTGGTGCAACAGCACTACACAGAGAAAAGAAAATTCCTCATTGCTCCTTTGAAAAGCTATTAAGTATTAACCATAGATGTAGGAATTACTACAGGACATAAATGAAATGAAAAGATCTGCATCACAAAGGCTGACTGATTGAACAGAATGCCTAAGATTTGTGATGACTTACATCTTTGAGGATAGAGTTGTCATGCAGGTCTGAACCAGGGGCTCAATGTGGTCTGCACTGAACTCAAACTTTTGGGAGATACGTTCTAGGTGATCAAAAGCTACCCTTGACGCCATCTCATAGCCTTCAGCCACCCTAATGGGGTGAATACCACGCCCAGAAGCTTCTCGGATTGCTCGAGGAGCGCTCCTGCCATGACTACCACCCCGGTAGTACCATCCCCAATTTCATAGTCTTGACTACGGGACAGCTCCACCATCAACTTTGCAATCTGGTTGTCAACATCCATCTGCTCCAGGATGGTCGCCCCATCATTTGCTGGCAGTTCACAAGGCAGCACATTCAGTAAGCAAAGTAACTGAGAAACTGTTTGTCAGCGAGAGAGCTCATTTACAATACTGCAAAGTGAACTTGTAAAGCATAGAACTAGATCTTAAAATCAAAGCATCCTGTCGAAATTAACCCACTGAATGGAAGCAGTGAGCATTGAGATAGCTTATATCTATAACCGTGAACCACTGAACAGCGAGATGGCACTTTGAACAAGCAAAAGTAGATAACTAAATCAACACCTCCTGTCCAAATTGATTTACACTACAGGATCTTAAACTGTAGGTCTGCGTCACTTGTGCATAACAGCAGCTAAATGAAAACAGCTTGTAACCTATGCTGAGCAAGCATAGCTAGATCTCCAAATCGACACCCTCTATTCTAATTTCTAATTGATTTATTGCACGGATTCTAGACTGTAGCAGCGCCTCACTTGAGCATTGCAGCAGCTAAATTGGGGGTCGCAAAACACCCTCTAAACTTACGGTTACAATAAAATGGGATCATGAACCACAATGGGAGGAAATAGCAAGCGTCCCAACCAATTAGACACCGCCTCGGCTAAACCAGCAGCGTCAATACGAGCAAATGCCCCGTGGAACCTAGATTTGAAGTCGTCCACGCGCCACTCGAGAAACCCTAGCACTAAAAACCGGCACCCAAGCTAAAGCAGGAGCTACAGTGCACACAAGGAAGAGAAAAGAGAAGGGAGGAGCCGAGCAGAGGCATACTGATGATGACGTCGCCGTCGGGGGACTGGAGCATCTTGTCCATGCCCGTGGGGCCGAGCGAGGTGCGGAGGATCCGCGCGACGGCCTTGCCCGCGGCGATGTTGGCCTTCTGCGCGTCGAGCCCCCGCAGGCGCGTCTTCTTTTCCTGCTCCCGCAGGATGATGAAGGGGCGCCCGAACTCGTCGAAGGCGAGCGCCATGGCCGGCGCTCGGTCCGGATCCGAGGGGCCGAGGCGGGGAGGCGGCGGCGGCGCGGCGCGGGTGGTGGAGTGCGGGCGGGGAGGGAGGGAGGGAGGGAGGGAGGCGTGTGTGGTGGTTGTTCTAGGGTTCAACAAGGGGAGGCAGAATTCTCTTTTGGGCTTGCGATGAGAACTTGAGCGGCCTCTCTCGGTGACGGTATGGCCCATTGGGCCGAAATGCTAACTTGCTGCTCTGCGTCGCCACGGCCCAAGTGGTCTGTTTCAGAAAGTGGGCTCAGATGTCAGTGAGAACAACTACTGACCTAGTAGAAATCTGAATCACTCGCCACCGCAGCCACTCAACTAGTTGCATACCCTCGCGCTCCGCCGCACCACGTACACTCAACTAGTTACATATGTAATCCCCAAATGCATACTACGTGATATCCATGGATATGTACTGCATAGACTGAGTGAAGGGGACAGAAGACAGAAGAGACAGAGGCAAAGATTAGGCTTTGCGTGGGTCTACACGCGCCACCAAGCGCAGAGCCCTCTCACTACAACACGTGTACGTGATGGGAAGGAAGAGGTAGGAGGGGGCTGGGAGGAGGCCATGATATACCATACGCATGGGATCTGTTGTGCCACATGACGTCGTACGCCCCATGTTGCCTGGCTTCATCAGCGCTCATGATTTTTTTTTAATTTTAACATTTTTTTGTAAACTAATTCTAAATCTAACCATGTTTGTTTTTTATTTTTAAAACTAACACTTTTGGCCGTGCCAGTGCTGCTCCATGCATGGTGGCAATGCGGGGGGGCTGACGTGACGACGACCGGAAAGGCTGACCGTTGACGGGGCGGGGCCGGCCGCGCCACCGATCTTGGCGCGGCAGTGCCGTGTCCTAATCCGTGGCGCGGCAGGCCGCTCCACGAACAACTGCACGGCACGGCCGCCGGCCGCCCGGTGCGGCCGCCGCGCCCGCCGAGGCCAGCGCCCGCGCCTCTCGGCCCAGTCTAGCGTGCCACCGCCGCGAGGACGAGCGCCGCTGCCGCGAGGTACTCCCCTAGTGTAGTTAGTATAGTTAATAAAGTTAGTATAGGGTTTAGTATAGTTAGTATAGTTAGTTTAGGTAATATAATAAGTTAGTATAGATAGTAAAGTTGGGTAGTTTAGTTAGTACATTTATTGAGTCTAGTTATACATTGGATTTAGTCTAATTAGTTGTTGTAGTTAGCCTTGTATAGATGTTAATATTAGATTAGTTAGTATAGTTATAGTTAGAATAGGTATTAATATTACTATGGACATTACGTACGACGATTTCGACGACTTGATGAAGTTTCTGGAAATGATTTTGCAGATGGATTGTTGTGTTAGAATTTTATACGGAGGAAGTGTTAGGAGAGAAGATGGTATATTTGAGGATATGGAAGAAGAATTGGAATGGTTTGATGAACCTCCTAGCTTCAACGACCATTGTGTCCGTTTGAATGCAAAGTTTGGCGGTGATTTCACACTGAAGGGGAGGTTTGATACTGGGAAGACTAGGGCACACTATGTCATCATGCATTTGCGCGCCCCTGCTCACTGGTCCCGCTACACTAGGGTGCTCCAAGGTTCTAATGTGCCCATGGGTGGGGTGGTGGTGGAGAATGGGTACGGGATGCAGGGTGTTCAGGACGGCCCGTCCATTGATAGTCTTGGAGGCAATGAACAAGAATTAGGGGGTCAAAGGGGAAGGAACTCAGGATAACATGGATTTGGACGATCAGTTGACGCAGGAGCAATTTCATTCAACTACAGTAGGTTGTATAAGCAATGACTTTGATGTGAATGAGTTCGAAAGGGAGGACAGGATCGGTGATGTAGTTAGCAGTGATTCAGACGATTCTAATGATGACCAAGGAGGTATAGATGCTATGCCAACACCGGCTGATGCCATGCTAGTACCGGTTCATACTATGCAATTACCAGTACCGACTGAGGTTTTGCATGGTGTCCAGGCTCAGGATAGACTAGTCACATATTTGGCAGCAGATGATACCCCCTATGATTCATGGGCCAGAATTAGAGAAGCGCAACAGTATGTTCCACCACCACCTTACACAGTGGCTGAGCTTGAGCAACTAAGGTCGATGAACGTATCTTTCAGGGGCGTTCCGAACTATTGGGATGTCAGCATGACGGACATGACAGTTTGTGACACCAGTCTACAGATATGTAGGAAATCATTGTATGACCATGAGAAATAAACCCTTAGGAAGGAGATGATATTCAATATAATATCAGAGATGAAGCTCTTCCTTCATGACTATGCTGTGTATCACCATAGGCCGTACACCGTCACTCATTCAGACCACGAGTTGAGGTACCACGTAATATGTAAAAACGGTTGTATGTGAAGGTTAAATGCACGAAAGAGACAGAGTGATGGCAAGTGGAGGATAACTAAAGTTGTCGAACCCCACACTTGCCTAGATAATAGGGGAAGGAAAATCATCAGCAGCTCACTGCACGTTACCATGCTCGTCGTATATTAGGGGTCGTTGACGACAATAACAACATTTCGGTGTTTTCTTTACAACAGGCCATATCTGGCTTCGTTAAGTACGATGTGAAGTATGAAAAGGTTTGGCGTGCTAAGCAAATTGCCCTAGCGATTCGATGAGGTAGTTGGGAGGAAGCGTACAACAGGGTGCCCCACATCTTATGTGCAATGCATTACTACAACCCTAGCTTGAAATGGTTTGTGGACACCGGAGGGATGTGTTTTCGGGACCCATTGAGGCATGTCCTCTATCGTGTGTTCTAGTCGTTCGCGTAAACGGAACATGCATTCCAGTTTTGTCGACCGGTCGTACTTGTTGATGGCACTTTCCTGACCGGAAAGTATAGGGGCACCTTGATGATGGATGCTGCTGTTGATCCTGAGGACCAGATAGTACCCATGGCTTTTGCTTTGGCAGAGGGAGAGAATAATGAATCGTGGTCATGGTTCATGCGGCTTCTACGTGTATAAGTGCTTGGCCCATCTCGCACTATATGTTTGATCTCGGACCGTCACGTAGGGCTTCTTAATGCTGCAGCTGAACATATAGATGGGTTCCCACCTCTAGTGCATAGATGGTGCATGAGACACTTTGCCGTCAATTTCTGGCGACATCAGCAGAAGCAGGAGGTATGTGACAAGGTAAATGCTCTATATTGTGTACGTACAGAGCACCAGTTCAAGGAGACAAAGAGAGAACTAGACAATATGGTAAATGAAGCGGGAAAGGCTTGGTTAGAGGCGCAGATGGAACAGAAGGCTCAGTGGGCGTTAACATATGACGAGGGGGTTTCAGGTATGGCATCATGACCACTAACTCCTCGGAGTCCTTCAACCGTGTATTCACCGAAGTTCGATCGTTGCCTGTGTCTGGATTTGTTGAGTTCTCCTTTCATAAATGCAACGAATATTTTGTGAAGAGGTGGGAACTTGCGTAGAGAAATATAGCTGAGTAGAGACATTTTGGAAAGGCTGGAGCTGAATATTTGAAGGAGGCCGGGGAACTGGCCAAGCAGCAGACCGTCGAGGTAGGGAAGGGTAGGAGGAAGAAGAAGTGACTCAAGGGGATATGGACGCTATGAGAGGGTGCAGACGAAGACATGTACTACTGGCGGGGAGACTTCAACGAGACCGTGGCAAAAAAATCTTTGCTCTGTTTGTAAAGAATCTGGTCACAAGGCTAGCGAGGCATAGAAGACGAGGACAACAAGTGCTTTTATATTGTGTTCAGATTGTATAACAAGTAGTTCAAATTTTGCAATGATAAATAATGTTAATTTGAATACTTTAACCCTTTGTTTATCAATTTATAACAGGATAGCCCCTCCCACGCCGCACCAGATGTACCCCTTCTTGAGGTGGAGTACGACTACCCCTTCTTCCACCGGACGACGAGGTTTCTAAGAGGCGTTCGAGGGATCCTTACATTCCTGGGACTTAGTTTGTTACGTTGAACTTATGTCGAACGAATATTGTCATCTGAAACTTGTAGACTCATAAACCAATGAAAATGTTATGTGGCGACTTGTCGTCCATTTAGTTGCTTCATATTCGTTTCAACTTGCGCACGGTCACGGCAACACTTGTAGTTGTTTATAGTACCGACAACAGCTCAATTGAGGGGGGTTAGGGGGAGGTGGAATCCACCGCTCGAAGTGCTCTCGTGGATGTCGCCCTCTCCACCAATCGTAAAAAAGGAGGTACCTGGAGTCAAACTTGTCTGCACCGTCGATCCACTAAAGAAAAAGCACATCTCATGGACCTACACAACAAAATTCCAACAAAATATTAGTAACCTAGTACTACAAATGAAGAAAAAATACGTACGGAAACAATTACTTACGTTAAAACGACTGTATGTGTAGAAGCAACGTGTCGCTGTGCCCGGATGTCTCGATTGAAACACGTCGGCCGGACGACCACAGTCACAGTTAGGGACAGGGAGTTCAGGAAGGACGGGGGCATCTTTGCTAGACTCGTCGGGGTACAATTCTCTAGGACGACCCCGTTTTCGCCACAACTGCTCCCGAAACATGTCTTTCATCTAATAAACGGTTCAAATTAAACATCAATCAAAACAACGCAAATTAATGTAAAATATAATTATTTGCATTGCAACTAAAATAATATAACCAACACTTATAGCAACAAAAATATACATGATAAACATACTTCTAACTGAATAATTAACCTTCAAACCATAGCCCATAGTTCCCAAACATAATTTTCCTCCTAACCGGCCGCGCCATGTCAATAGGCGCGGCAAAAAGTGTTAGTTTTGAAAATAAAAAATAAACGGTGTTAGATTTAGAATTAGTTTTAAAAAAAGTGTTAAAATTAAAAAAAATCGCGCTCACCTGCCCCGTAGTAGCTCGGCTGGTCGCTTGTCCCAGACCTTGCGTTGCACAAATACGATGAGATACACTAGCTAGATCTGGATGTGAGGTCATCAGAGAGAGCGTCTAGTGGCCATGGGCAGCGAGAGAGGAGGAAGGGAGAGACACACGAGTCGTTGCAGCAGGTCATGGAGTCACTGGAGCAGCCTTTAGCGAGCAGTCATGGAGTCTCTTGGTTCTCGACAAGCTAGCGACGGCCTCCATACGAGGCATCAGTCGGGCTGGCTAATGTTGTTTCCAAACGAAACGAGTTTTAGGCACAGAACGCCAACACTCCTCCTGCCTTCAACATCAGCCGCATCTGAGACCAAAAGCGCCAGCAAGGTGTCCTTGATGCTCTAGACCGGCAGCACGAGGCAACGCCGCGAGCGCTCTGGAGCCGATGAGCCATACCCAGGGGGTGCGGCCGACAAAGGCAACATGTAAGGAGTAAGGACCGTAACTTCTTGTGGGATAACGAGTAGCAGCATGGAAGCACTTGTCACTGCAGCAAGCAAAAGGTGCCCACATGAATGAAGGGACAGAGGCAGATATTTTTCACTTGGAGCTAACCGGAGATCGACAACTCCACAAGAGAAGGACAGGTGTGGAGAGTTGCTATTGGATACGGGGTTGGGATCAAATGGTGACATTAAATCTTTTTTTTACTGTCATGGACTGGCCATTAGCCTAATGCCAATGGATGGAAAACAAAAGGAAAAGGGACCGCCCGCAGAGTAGCTAGCTCTAGCTTTATGCACGCGCGCCGCGCGGGACACACACGCTTTGCTTGCACGAATGCACGATCGACGCGTCTCAAAAAAAAAAAAAAGAATGCACGATCGACAGTAGATAGAAAAAATACTGGCTGCTGGTAAAATCTTCAGTGTATATATACAGTTATTATTAGTTATCTACATTGTGGGCTGGAGCCCCGCAATCCTGCATGCATATATAGCGTTCTCCCACTAAAGTAGCTAGCTCGTGCTCGTCCGCACTACGTTTTTAATTAAATACATACAGTATGTATGTATCCATCCATCCATTGCATGTGAATCTGCCGGCCAGTCTACTGTCGAAGTTACTAAGTTAGGTCTGGTCTGCCGCACGATCATCGATCCGCACAGTGATTTGCGTGGTAAGCGCTAAAGCTGCACACATCCGAATCCCACCCAAAAGCTGCTAGGACGATATTATACACAGTGCCATCAGCGGCGGATCAAGGAAAAATTTTAGAGGGGACTGAACAAAAATGCGACACCAACATACCTTCGACTGCTGCTCGATCTTAAGTCTCAGCCTCCACCTACACGATAGAACTTTGCCTAAAAATTCATGGGGGCTCCAGGGCTCCGGTATCGATAGGAGGGGCTCGAGCCCCCCGCCCCACCGTTGAATCCGCCGCTGAGTGCCATGGCAAAAATATAATCACGCACAGGGCCGGGAGATATGGATGCCGGTTGGCTTTCCGTCCGTGCCTATAAATCACCCATGCCGTCCATACCATCATGCACAAGCTAAGCGCCCCACAGCTTGCACTCGAGACAAGACCGAGAAGAGATAGCCATTGAAGTGAGATAGGTCAAGTGCCCGTCTAGGAACTGGTGGTGATCCACTATGAGGTCCGCCCTCCTCTCACTATGTTTCCACCTAGCCCTAGCTATTACACTGGCCGCAAGTGTTCTTGATCTTGCTCATAGTAGGGTGATCGACTTAAAGCTACCACAACCTAGACCAATACCGCATCGTCATAAACCAAAACCCCGACCCAAAGCGGATCCCAAGCCTACACCACACCTCAACCAGAACCCACACCACGGCGGACCCAGGCGGAACCCAAACCAATGCCACAAATGAACCCCATACCCACCCCAGCAACCAGATCCAAATCCAGAACCAGAGCCAACACCACAGCCGGACCCAGAGCCAGAACCCAAGCCATTGCCGCAGCCTGAACCCTTACCCACACCACAACCAGAACCAACACCACAACCAGACCCAGAGCCAGAACCCAAGCCATTGCCACAGCCTGAACCCTTACCCACACCACAACCTCTTCCAAATCCACAACCAGAACCAACACCACAACCAGACCGAAAGCCAAAGCCAAAGCCTGAACCTATACCCACTCCACAACCACTTCCAAATCCTGAACCTGAACCTGAACCAACACCACAGCCTGATCCACCAAACCCTGCATCACAGCCTCAACCAAAACCAGAGCCTGATCTTGAGGCAACACCTAAGCCTACACGGGGACCTAAACCTCAACCATAACCACAACAAAGCCCCAAACCTTCACTTGGCCTGAAAATAACGCTAGGACCATCAAGGCTGGCACCCCATCCGATCCCTGAACCCCCACCTGAGCCTGAGCCAAAACCAAAGCCTAAGCTTGATCCAAGCCCGAAGCCTTTGCCAAAGCCAAAACCCCCCAACCTGAACCATCCAAGCCAGAGCCTGAGCCAACCCCAAAACCCAAGCCTAATCCATCCAAGCCAGAGCCTCAGACAAGCCCCAAACCTACACCGAAGCCAAACCCCCAACCACAACCATCAAAGACAGAGCCACCACCTCTTTAGCCACCCATTGAAATGAGAATCATGGAGGAAAACTAAGAAGAGGATAATAGCACCGATCAACGTGCATACAACCTAAAGCTTCGCTATGAGCAAAATAATACCATTTGTGTAACAGTGAACTATATATATGTAGTATTACTATATATGAACTTATATGTGTACCCACTTGTTCTCGTGTATGTTTCCATTAGCATGGCTTCATGTATATGCTTTACTAAGTTTGTGTATCATCAGTGAATTGAATAAAAGGAACAAGTCTTATATGTCTTGTTTGGGTACTTGCATTGACCATTGGTTTCTCTCTCTTTTTTGAAAAATTGAATGGGCAAACACAAGATTTTGTCTATCTCATTGATAGAACATGGAGTTTTACAAAATATATTATTGAGAGCAACATACATTGTGATTAATGAGACTGATCAATGGGCGTATGTGTAATACCCTGGCCACTAATGTTCTGGTTTCATCTTGTTGTGGCTTATATATTGTCTTATGGTGGAACTAGTCCCACCTTGGTTGTTTAAATAGGTTTAGACCAGCTTATAATTATTGTCATTTCAAGCAAAGCAATTCCGAGTTAACCCTTTTACATGATATGAGGGCAAAAGTGTAAGAAATGTACTATGCATATATGGGCCTATTTCACTTGAAGAGCTAGGCCTTAAGGAGTTCTTGGAAAGGGTTTATAGTGTATAATGCTTTGTGTTTCAAATTTGTGAAATTTTGTTCCGATTAGTTGGACTACTGATAAGGTGCTCCGTATTTCAATTTGCGAATTTCTTTCAGATTGGTACCGGTAGTTTGTGTTTCAACTAGCAAACATGCCCGCTCACATGTTTAATGAACTCAAATCAGAAAACGACATCATTAACATATATAGGTGTGATTAATTGATTAAATTGTTTAAATAATTAAAATATGTAAATACAGTGACATGCATATTTATAGGAAAAAAATATTCGCTCAATTATCTCAAATAAGATTCTAGTAATGAACACAATGAAGACAACATAAAAGCATCTACACTTTATTTGTGAATCACCGTACACTAGCTCCTGGAACTATTGTAGCTTGTGAATGACAGGAACGGCCACGGCGTAGTGGATGGCGAGCGTGGCTGCCTTCTTCTCTACGAGCAAAAAAGAAGGAATAGCCAAGATTCATATTTGAAGTGCCAAAAGAAATATCCGTTGAAGAGAATGTTTTTGACTAAAATCTCTATTTCTAGTAATAAGGAAAAGTAAATAGAGATTCTTAGAGTTTCTCTTAGTTTTATTTTTTTGTTTGAACTTCTCACCATAGTTGATTCTAAGTTGCTGCTAATACATCTTATCAAAGCATTCGCCAAGTCATGCTATGACATAAATTACGTGTATTATGACAAAAGTGAAATGTCAAAAAATGACATGTTTCTTGTAGTGAGCAAAACCGGGGGGACAAATTAAACACAAATGATGCGATGCTCCTCTAGTTTTTTTGGCATGAGAATGAACTATGAATAAACTCTAGGTTGAGACTGATGTCTCTATACTAAATAAAACGAATATACATGTGATCTTCAATAATTTGTTCAAAGCGGGGGGAACACAAATGAAGGTCAAATCAAGGTACGTCTAGATTTTCTATGTTTTTCTCAGGATTTAGGCTAAGATTATGAGCCCAATCCCCACCCTATTTTTAGAATAGGCTGAATATTTGAAGCCCAAGGCCAACCGTTACGGGTTAGGTCAATTTTTTTTTGGAAAAGTTCAATTGACCTTCCTCAACTATTCGATCCCCCCCCCCCCCTGAGCTACTAAACCAGCTTTTTTTTTCCCCTCAACTTTTAAAACTGTTTGGTTTTGCACCTTGGGTGATTTTGATGGTGGTTTCGATAATGTGTCGTCATGTCAGAGGAGGTAAATCAGACTAAAATTGTTTTGAAGAATTTATCCAAATATTTGTACATGAAAAATAATGCAATTAATTAAAATCATAAAAATATTTTCCATGTAAAAATATATAGACAAATTTTTGAAAAATTATCTGTTCGGATTCGCTGGGCTTGAGTGCACGTGATTGGTCTAACCGGTCATGCACCGCCACAAGACTTGTCTGTTCGATGGGCTTGCGGCCCATATATATATCCGCAGCCGCTGTGTCCCTTGCAGGCTGTTGTTGCTCCTGCTTTCTTGAATTTTTTGACTCATGGGGGAGCTAGAGATAAAGTAAATGATATTCCGTGGAAATGCAAGATTCCTTTGAAAGTGAAGGTTTTCTTGTGACAGGCTATTCACAACAAGTTGCAATCACTGTAGCATTGGTTAAAAGAGGGTGGCATGGGAGTCCCCTATGTTGTGTGTGCCATAAGCCGGAGACTGTTGACCACATGATGCTTTCAATCTTCAAGGATTTCCTTTGTCAATGCAGGAAATTTATATCCCAATGGCTACCAAGGAGGCTGGGAATACCTAAAAGACTATGATTCGCTTTTTTGCAGGTCTAGCATGGGCTATAAGGAAGAATCGTAATAAGATGGCTATTGAAAAGTTTTTCCCTCTAAACCCAGATGCAGTGATTCTCAACTATCTGCATATGTGGGCAGAGTTGCTTAGGGAGAGTGACAAAGCCAAGATGAAAGGGATGGCGCAGTGCAACATGCAATTGCATCAAATGTCGTGGCTTCAAGTACCATCTTCATTTCCTCTTTGTCGGCTGTCTGCTCTCACAACAACAGAGGACGGTGGACTGTGGCTTGCCGCTGAACATGAGTACAAACTCTACATCTGGTCGACGAAGGATGCTGATGAAGTAGATGCTAGATGGGAACAAAACAGAGTCATTGAGCTTAACACGCTGCTCCCTGTTGATGCCGACTTAACCAAACTAGATGTGGTTGGCTCCATGGATGATCTCGGTACCATTTTTGTGAGCGTGGATAATGCGGCCTACGCAATTGATCTGAATACCTGTAAGGTAAAGAAGGCGTACGAGGGCACAATCGACACCATTGTTCCTTATGAGCTTCTACACCCCAGGCCGGTACATGTTTGCTTAGTTTTTGGTTTACAGTGTTCATGGTTCAATAGGCTCCTCGATATTGTATTTCTTAAAGTGCAATATTATATCTAACTAGGTTGATCCTACCTAAATGTTTTTAATTTATTATGGGCGATCATTGAAACTAATCAGCTATGCCTATGAATTTAGTGATAATTAAAAATCAATTACTTGGGTGAGCTTCTACACTTCAGAATTCAGATGCCTTCTGTGTATCTCTAATCATGTTCATCTGTAGCCCTCATGTGTCAATCGATGGTGATGTATGTGCTACAGTTAGGGAGGCAGTTATCTTATTGAGCTTGTGCAAGTGTTGATGCTGACTGTTGTTGCTGTGAATAATGAACTAGTGTTATTTTGTTGGCAAGCACTAAGGGTTCATCTAGGGCAAATTTGAGTCCTCAATCAGCTGATGTTGTTCTCAAAATTTTGTAAAATTCTGTAGCACTGGAAGCAGAGGGTACATGTGGAGGACCAAGGGCTGGTGGCTCAAGTGCATGAAAAGCTTATGGTGCTCATGTGAGGTTCTCAAGCAAGTAGCACGAGGTCTATAGTGGGACAACACTTTTTTGCATCAGGGAGATTGGTGCTGGCCTTGGGCTTTTTGTGTTTTTCATGTAGTAGTTTATCTTGAACCTTTTAGCTTTATCGTTGGTTCTATCGGGCTTGTATGTAAGCTGTGAATCTCTACATTGACCGACTTGATCTGTGACTATGGGCTCCAGAATTCCTGCTTGTGATGAAATCCTGAAATGCACATTCCTTTCGTTGTTAAAAGATGTAGTCTCAAGAAAAGGAGCATTGTGAAATCAGATCCTTGCAACTTCTTATGTTCCATGCCCTTCCTACATAAATTTATTAACTTCTTTATTTATTGTGCTTCAACATCTTATTGCATCTAAATGATTGGATAACCAGGAACTTGTTAATTTATTGCTGCCATATTTTTGCTTGTTTGGCCAACCTGGTAGAAATCCAAAGACAGAGAGAGAGCTTATTTATGTATGAACCTTATAAAACCACAATGCAGTGGCGACAAAACCATATGACACAGTTTAGTTTGTGTACAGTGCAGGTGAACACCAAAGGGAAAGAAAAGCTAACATGATCAAAGAATAACAGCAGTACATGAGTGCAGCAGGTGCTGAGGGTGAGTCATGGTTGGTCTTGCTCGTCGAATGCGGATCACGAAGCATGAACACATGCTGCAGCTGAACCAAACCTATTGTTCTGTGTTTGCTTGATACTGATAGCCACCCTGCCCCTTCTCGTTCTGGAAGTGATGAAGTGTGTGATGTGATGCTGAACTGAACTGAACTTGCCCGCATTCCCATCGTTGAAAAGGCCTCTGTTTCAGTAAACTACAGACTAGCATGTGGGGTAAATAAATTGAAGAGATCCTGAAGTGAGTCTTTGGTTCAGTTTATGTGTGGCCCCCGTAAAAGATTAATACCTTGGACCAACAGGCATTAGCGCTCGTGCAGTGGCCACAAGGCGAGCTCCCATTGGCTCTCCCCACTCCACCTCACGTGTCCAACGTCTGGCCCCACGCCCTCACATTCTCTCACTCCCCTGCACCAGGTCCGCCAGCACCGCAAGCGCCAGCCCGTGTCCGTCCGTGCGCGCGGTCCACGGCAAAAACGCTTCGTGCTCCTCCGCTGCCCTTTATGCGCCGCGGCTGCCACGGCCCCCACCCTCCCCGTCGATTCCCCCCACGCCACTCGCCGTCCCGTGTTGGGCCCACCGAATCCAAGCCCACCGCCGGAAGCGTCCAAACCCTAGCCCATGGCGAATGCGGCCTCCTCCGCGTCGTCGCCGGGGGCCGGGCCCTCCTCCTCCACCTCCACCTCCTCGCCGCATGCCAGCGGAGGCGGGGACGCGCACACGCCACGGCAGCGGCAGGGCCGGCCCGTGCGCGCCGGCTCCGACCCGCTCCTCATCGTCTGCGGCTGCTTCAGCGTCGTCACGGCCGCCACCGCGCTGCTCTGCGTCGCCGTCAACGTCGTCTCCGCCGTCCAGTCCTTCCGCGCCGGCTCCGACGTGCGTGGCCCGCACGCCCCAGTGCCACTTTCCCCTTCTCGTCGTCGCCCGCCCGCCCGCCCTGGGGGCTGCTGATTCGTTTGTTGAATTGCCCCTCCGCAGATATTCGGGGGCATATTCCGGTGCTACGCCGTCGTCTTCTCGCTCTTCGTCGCCGTCCTCGAGACCGAGTGGGGGTTCATCATCCGCTTCTGGAAGGTTGGTTGGTTGCTCCGCTTTCTGTCTCCGCCGTACAACCTACCGCTGGCTTGATTTGGATTGTGAGATACCGCGAATTCGTTGTGGTGTTGTTACCGACACGACAGGATTATTCAATTGCAGCCTGCTTGGTTGCTATCTGACTCATTGTGGAACTTTAGGTGATGTATACAATGCTACACAATTTAGTCAGGCACTTGGTACTGGTAGACTGCTACTCTGCTTCTCTCGTTACTGTGTTTGATATGAACATTTCGTTTCATTTGATATGAGTTGTCAATTGGAGCCTGATTGGTCGCTATCTGATTGATTTTGAAATGTTAGGTGATGTACATTTACACAATTTAGTCAATCGGGGCACTTGGTAGACTGCACCACTGTAGGGAGGTTTCTAGTAGTTTGCTACTCTGTTTGCCTAATTACTGTGTTTGATATAAAACATTTCCAATCATTTTGGTTAATTTATAAATCTTTTAGTCAGTTAACATTTGCAGTATCCTATTTGAGATGCTGCACATGTCTGATTTCTATGTGTAGTGCAACATAGGATTCGTTTTGGTTCAGTTTCCATGTCATGCTTACGATAATATTATTTGCTTCGTGTCAAGGAGCGTATGGATGCCCAGTGTTTCACAAGATTTTAGGCAACTATTGTGTTTACCATTTATCAAAAAAAAAAAAAAACTGTTGTGTTTACCAGGAAAGATATTTTTTATAAGTTTATTAGGTAGCGGTTTCTTCTGTTATGATGTTTTCATAATCGGCTTTTACTGTTTCAGTCAATAAATGCATTTTGGTCCTTAGGTTCTGCAAGTTAGTGAGGCTAGCTTAGTATTTTCTTGATTTTACTGCCTCGTTGATTTAGTGATGCCTTTAATTGTTATGGGATCAGATATTTGAATACTGGCCTGCACGGGGAATGCTCCAGATCTTGTAAGTGTTCTTTATGACCATATGTTTCTGTTTCCTCTAATTTTGTTTCCAAAACTCGGCAATCAATCTGTGTATATTCATTTCAATGCACAATTGAGTAAACCACTTATGCTTGGTGCTCATCCAAATATAGGAAGTGTTTGTTATCCTTTTTTCTTTGGCAAGTAAGGGTTCGAGTTGCGGTCTCCTCGCATTGCACAGGCGAGGGTAAGGCTTGCCACTGACACCCTTCCCCAGACCCCGCACAGAGCGGGAGCTCTCTGAACTGGGTACGCCCTTTAAGTAATACAACAAAATAGACATCAGAGAAAGTTACAGATGTGACAGTGAGGCATTGATTTGTATTGTTCAGTTTAATTGTTTTGTGAAATAAAAATTTATTTGCTTCCAATATCAACCAAAAACTTGGTTTCTCCATAAACCTGGACCAAGATTTGATGAGCAACAATGATCTTCATACATACATTAGTTTGGTATTAAGGCTAGTTCTGTGTTAATGTCAGTTGTGAGCAATTCCAACATTCATACAGTATTTCATCACTCTTATGCCATATAAGTGCTATATCAATGTCAGTTTCATTCTTCTGTGGATGCATTATTATCCTCACATGTTCAGACCTCTCCTATCATTGTTAGCGTGCGCTGTTGTGAGAATGCTTTTCTGGTTAATCGAATGTGCAATATCATCTTGGTTTTGCCTGAACCATGAAATGTCTCTCCTTTAATTCTAGGTTTTCGAAACATAACATAGTTTTCGACCTGGGTGATTACAAATGAAAGAATAATGTTACATGTACACACTTGGTTCGATGTTTGACAATACTGGGATGGAAAATTTTGGCAATCCAGTGTCCGGACCATAAGTTCAGAGCAATACTCTTGTTATCTAGCTTCTGTTAACCGGATTGACCTCTCCACATTCACATTACGTGCACCAAGTACTTGTGTCAATTACATGCAGCTGCATAACTGTTGAGATCATGAGCATTTTAGATTTTAAATTCCTTGCCTGCAAGAAGTGTCAAGAATACTGAGATTTGTTCAAGAATACTGAGATTTGTTCTTGCATATGCTGAATTGTTCACATTCCTATTCCTCTATTGATTTCCACCCTTTTTTTCATTCCTGGCAGTGTTGCTGTCATGACGAAGGCATACCCAAGTATTGAAAGGAATGATCTGATTTTGCTCCAGGAGATTGCTAGCTACATGCTTCTTGCATGTGGAGCTGTCTATGTGATCTCGGTAATAGAAAATTTTGGATGTTCATGTGTTGAAAGACTGTTACTGCATTAATAATTCTGAAAGTTTGGGCATAACAATGTAAAATGGCTAAACATTAAAGCTCTTAGGACATTGATGCATTTATAATTTTCAGTCATCTTTGTTGGGGAAAAGTAGTACAGTTACTACCCAACTTGATTTCACAGGCTGCATAGCATTATTAACCTGTTGAATGCTTGTAGCACAGGCTAAAAATTTTAATACAAACACTCCCCAAAATATTATCATGATTATTCATGAAGTCTCTACCAGCTGTGTCTATCATAGGTTCATACCGCAGTATGATCTTATGATGTTATGAAACAAATTGTCGACATTGCCTTCTTTTATTGCATCGTCACAAATGTAGTAACTGGAAAACTTTGAATATGTAGGGGATATTGTGCATTGGTGTCCTAAAACGTTCTAGGCAGCAGAAAGCGACATCACGGGATCAAGCAGTCAAGGATCTGCAGGTAAGTATTCATACTTTTAAATGTGATAGCATGGAATCTAGTGATTGGATATTTCTGTGTTTTGGCCCATTGTCTTTCAGTCTGTAAGACCCCCTTTCTGCAGCTTGTGACTAAACTTACTCGGTGTGGCTTAGTTTGATCTTCAGTAGTTTAGTTACTCCACTTTTAGTGACTGCCATAAGATTATTCTTTTCCTGCAGTCCTGCTTGTTTTGCTTCCCATGGATAGTTCAGGAGAATCTGTAGCTGTAGCTTAAAACCAATTGTAGCTCGTTAGAAATATAAAAACCTGACTTATATAAAGATGGTGCCCCCTTTATCCCCTCGAAACAGCTGATCACCCTGTTTTGCAGTGTTTATCTTTGTTTAATTTAGAATACTATGCTATAAGTATTACCGAGCCATATGGCATCAAGTAAAATATGTGTTCACCAGGGAACTGCTTCTGTTTTCTAAAAGAAAGTATACACAGCCAGACAGCCTGCAAAAAGGAAAATGAGGCTATATACGACTATTCTTTTGTTGATCATAGCCAGGCACTGTCTATTGGATAGTGTATTGCCAAAATCACTGCTTAGTTTTGATGTTAAGGGTACAGCCTAAATGGTACAGGCATAATTTTTGTTGTGTACACCATCACTGCCAGCTCATCTTTCCGCTTTTCCTCAATCTGTATGGTGTTTCAGGAGCTGGAGAAACGGAGAGAAGAACTTGAGGCCTTGTTACTTGCTGAGCGGTCCGAGTTGGTCTGAAGGCTGACCACAGTGATCTAACAAGTTCTCTTCCAGTGTAGATAAATGTTTTTTTCCTGACAATAGCATACTGCTTGGTCCGGGCCATGAGGCATTCATCAGAAGTCACTTTGTTGTAGTGTATCTTCTTCTTTAGTTCCTCTGTAAGTATGGATTCTTTGTTATGTTTATATCAAAGTTAACAGATTTGAAACTTATTATCTCTATTCTATTTTGCAGTTGAATGTTCCTCATATTTGACAGTTTGCATCATAGTGACGTCTATCTTTTTTTTTATTACTGATACAGGATCACAGATGTTTCTGTTGTTAATTAACGTCATGCTTTTAACGGTCAGGCCTTGCAGCTATCCTCATGGTTTCAGCTGAGTTGTGGGCTTCTGGTTTCAGAGCATTGTATTGATTTATCGTATGGGAATGTGTTGTTTCAGTTAGATCACAGCATGAGTTTGATGTAGAATGCTGACCTGCTGTTAAGCTTGTCTTGTATGTATTGCTGAATAATTCACCTGAATTTTACCCTTAATATTTGTTTTGACAGATGCACTGTAGTAACTCAATCCTAGCGCTATAAGTGTGACATGTTTTCCTGTATATTATTTTCCCCAATTATTAGTGGGTGCTAAAATATTCTCATTTTCTATTAGAGGAACATGTTCTCATATACTTCCTCCGTCCCAAATTATAAGATATTTCGGCATTTCTAGATTCAGAGCTTTTACAATGCATCTAGACATAATATATATCTAGGTGCATAGCAAAATATCTAGGTGCATAACAAAAAGTTATGAATATAGAAAAGCTAAAACGTCTTAGAAATGCTAAAACGTCTTATAATTTGGAATGGAGGAAATAATTCTTATCTAAACCAAATTTGATGGTTGGCATCCGGTTCCTGTGAACTTGATCCAACGGCTAATGGTCTGCCCTACCCGACGCGACGGATCTGTCGACGCGACAACCTCCTGCTGTCGTCGACGCCACCTCTCCCCTGTTCGGCGCAGCCGGCCCTCATGGCTTGATGTTGCCCCGGCGCGGCAGCCCTGACCTCTCGGCCGTTCTCGGCTCGGCTCTTCGCTGGCGCGGGGTGTGTGGGCCCTGCCTCCCTGCGCGCCCTGCCCAGTGCGCTGCCTCCTGCCATCGGCTCTCATCTATTCAGCATGGGCGGACCTCTCCTAGTGGGGGCGTAGCTCTGCCCAAGGCGACGCGGTGGCCTTGCCCAGGCGGACCTCCCGACACCGCCGACACACCTCCCTGTCACGAGTTGGTTGGTCGAGTTCATCCGAGTTCGTTTGTGATGGAGAAAGAGAGGATGACTATGGGTCCTATATGTCATTCTCTCCTATAATGGATTTGGGTGGCTTTGTTTTAGATAGTGCTACCGGAGAAAACATCAAAAAATTGGTATTATCCTAATGGGTGGCTACCTAAAAAGAAAAGTAGGGGTCTATTTTAGGTAGCGTTACTAGAGATGCTCTTATGCCTTATGTTGATGGCGTGTTTAATTTGGCCGACCTTACAGCTTTTTCAAAAGATCTTTCTTCCATGATTTTGTCATGTCAGGATGTGTCAATCCCAAGAGGAAAAAAAAAACACCACTAGAAATATCTAGGCGTGCATCTTTAGTACCATCCAAAATGTCAACCTATTTGGTTGTGCTTCACAGCAAATGGTTTACTTGGTTTAGCTATCTCAATAACTTCCTTTTGGCTTTTGACTATGAAGAGGTAGCATGTATAAACCTGACAAAGTAATTATGCACTTTATATGGAATTTTCCCATTGTTATTATACCCCAACAAATAGATCAGTTGAGAACAAAGACTCACGACAATTTCAGTTCATCAGAGATTGAGTTACAGGGAAAGACCATTTGCTTATGGTTTTGTCGTAAGCTCAAGAGGGAGGGACCCACCCACTGTTCTCTAACTGCCAAACCCTTAGCAGGGAATGATGTGAAATGATTCCTCACGCGGAGAGAATAGCAAAAACACCTTTAGTGCCGTCATCACAAGGATAGGTGAAACTCACTTTCGCTATGAATCGAATGGATGGCAACGGAGGTTTTGCTGTAAGCTCAAGAGGGAGGGACCCACTATCTCCACTCAACCCAGTACTGTGGTGGCAGTCTGAATCTCACCTTACTGCTAATGTGCATCTCCTTCCAACACCTGTTGTGCAGCACTATACCCACCAACTGTTCAATGCAATGCATATGCGTATATGGGAGCCAGCAATAGCCAACATCACCTATGCAAACAGGCCTACTAGTCAAATTAACCACCTGAATTTAGAAAAACTGCACTGTTTTTCCCTCTTCAAAGCAAGCCTAATAAGTAGAGCATAGACATTTCAAGCTTGCATTTCAAAAGAAATATCAAAGAACCAAATTAAATGAAAACATTCAAAAAAAGAAAAAAGCACCATGGATATGTGATCAATGAACACAAGAGCATATGTAATAGCCTAGCATTGCAACAGGTTGCATTATTACATAAGTAATTTACAAGCTAAAAGTGTTGCTGTAAAAACAATAAAAACAGTCAGCTCTTAGTCACACCCTGGTCCTTGGTCATCTTCTTATGCAATATTGATGTAAATCAATACACGTAAAATTCTATACATTTCCACATTCTAAAGAACCGAACTCGAAACAACCCCTTGGCTTTTGCTGATGTCTAGCACTTAAACTGATTTCAAGTAGTATTTCATCGTGCCCTTATCCATGTAAAATTCCATGCATATTTCTAGCCTAGGCCTTGTTTAGATCACTCCAAAATTCCAAGTTTTTTCACTCTCTCTCCATCACATCAATTTTTAGCCGCTTGCATGGAGCATTAAATATAGGTAAAAAAAATAACTAATTGCACAGTTTAGTTGGAAATCACGAGATGAATCTTTTGAACTTAGTTGGTCTACGATTGGACAATATTTACCAAATAAGACGAAAGTGCTACTATTCATCAGGTTGAAATTTTCTTCAATCTAAACAAGGCCCTAGAGAATCTTCGTAGTATCTGGTACGACTTCCTGGCCATGCTTTCAGTGACCAAGGAATTGAAAAATATTGTCATCTTCTTTAGCTCTGTAGCCTAGCCGAGTAGATGCTTCAGAAAGATAACTTCATGCTCAGATCCTCTCAACTCAGTGATTTCAACTTCTTGGAGGTGGTTCAACAAGAGTTCCTCGAATTTCCAGTCTTGTTGATCGTCACAAATGCAACCAGGTGGACAAGCAGTTTGTTTCTGAAACAAGGATCAATCATAGTAGCTTAGTATGGCTAACTGATTAAGGGTTGAAATTAAAAATTATCAGATTTCCCAAATGTGTTATCAAGACAACATCAACGTTGGAAAAAAAAAAGAATTTCACGCCTAGACATATCATATTAGCCTGATGCCATCGGATTGCAGTAATATAATTGTTCTAATGAGCTAAGAAAAACTGGTCTAGTAAAAAAATGTTTTTATTAAATACCACAAATCCTCCAGTATCATGCTATTAACAATTCAACATCACATATTTAAGAAGATTTTCAATGGACCTTACAAATTAGGTTATAGAATAGAGTTATGGGGACTCCGAAAAATCGTGTTCCCAGATCTTACTGTTATCTCCTAATTCCTATTTGTATCAACAAGATCAAGCCTCCCATACAACGACCTGGCCTGTCAATTTAATCCCATGATTTCAAAGATGCTGACAATAATTAAAATATATATACTAACACAACACATATTTGCAACCGAAATGTTATTACCACTCAGTAAAAACCCAAATGTAGAGCAAAGTGTCATCATTATAGGACATAGTTATAGCAGATGAACACTGCAACAAAAATATAAGCATGCAACCAATGCCTGGGGCCACGGCATATCAGGCTTTGTTGAAGCAGAAATGCAAATGCATATATACATAAACAACACTCCACCACTGTTCTCTAACTGCCAAACCCTTTGCAGTGAATGATGTGAAATGATTCCTCACGCGGAGAGAATAGCAAAAACACCTTTAGTGCCGTCACCACAAGGATAGATGAAACTCACTTTCGCTATGAATCGAATGGATGGCTATGGAGGTTTTGCCGTAAGCTCAAGAGGGAGGGACCCACTATCTCCACTCAACCCAGTACTTTGGTGGCAGTCTGAATCTCACCTAACTGCTAATGTGCATCTCCTTCCAACACCTGTTGTGCAGCACTATGGCCACCAACTGTTCAGTGCAATACCTATGCATATATGGCAGCCAGCAACAGCCAAGATCACCTATGCATTGCAAACATGCCTACTAGTCAAATTAACCTCCTGAATTTACAGAAACAACACTGTTTTCCCCTCTTCAAAGCAAGCCAAATAAGTAGACCATAGACATTTCAAATTTGCATTTCAAAAGAAAATTAAAGAACCAAATCAAATGTAAACATTCACAAAATGAAAAAAGCACCACATACATATGTGATCAATGAACACAAGAGCATATGTGATGTAATAGCCTAGGAATAGGAGCGTTGCAACAGCTTTACAAGCTAAAAGTGCTGATGTAACAACAATAAAAACAGTCAGCTCTTAGTCACACCCTGGTCCTTGGTCATCTTCTAGTAGTATAGGAACTGGCCAGCTGTGGAACTGTGCGAACTGAGAAGCTCTAGAGTACTAGTAGTATAGGAGTACTATCACTAGCCTGGTCGGTTGCCTACTGGCTACTGGCATGATATGTCAGGGGCATCTTCCCGTGCATGGGCGACGCGCCCCGGTCCACATCCCGCATGCTGCATTCAGCTTCTGCAGCATAGCCAGTGCAGCAGTGGTAGCAGTACCAGGCTAGGGCTAGGCGCTGCCCTCCTGACAGCGCTTTCGGTAGCAAAGCAGAGCGGCCTGGCGCCGCCGCGCCACGCATCACGGCGCGACAGATTCCGGTCGTCGCCACATTAGACCGCTGTCGCGCCACCATACATGACGTGGCACAGGCATTTGGTCGTGCCAGGGTAATAGGCGCAGCCAAA